TCGCCCGAGCCCTGCCGAACCAGCAGCCGTCTGGGTGGACTCGGCCGTCGGCTGCCCCACTCAGGACAGAAGCACCAGAAGAGGCTCTGCTCAGCTACCACCACCCTACAAACACAAAGCAACAAAGGAAGGCTCTTCTGCGAGCGGCAGAGTGCGTTGCCATCCCCTGGAAGCGGAGACCCCCCCAGGGCCTGCGGACCCTGCCCCACCGAGCCCCCGGCCAGAGCCCGGACACGGCGTTCTGCTTTGGGCACCTCTGCCCAAGCGCTCCCGGCACCCAGGAGCAAACCCGGCACAAACCCCTGCTCACCTTCACCAGGCGAGGAGACCGAAGCTGCAAACACGCAGGCAACTACCCGCGGGGCGGAAAACAAAAGGATCTCGCTGTTTGATCTCAGAGAATGGCAGAAGCCGTAACGCTCTCCAGTGCCCAGGCACCAGCAGGGAAGCCGGCACACGCTGGCTGGGGTGCCGGTGCGTGCTGGCAGAGGCGAGACGTGTCCGGAGGGTCGGATGTACCCAGCAGGAACAACACCACAGTCTGCAGCATGCCACAACCATCCACGAGCAGCCTTAAGACAAGGGAAAGGCCGTGCTGCGTTAAGCAGACCTGTGGGATCGCGGTAGAGAAGGACGTAAGGTGGGATGAGAAGAAGGGATCGCACTGACCCTGGCCGGAGCAGAAGGAACCCACGGCGCAGCACACGATGTGGGAATCCCCGTTCCCGTAACACACCCCTCGCTCGGCACCACGCGGGCGCTGCAGGCAGCGACCCTCGGAAGGCAGAGCGTCAGTCGCAGCCCGAAGCGGGGCTCCCTGCCGCGGTTTCACCCGCACTGACACCCCGGTTCTCCCGGCTGCCCCCGGCGCTGGAGATGCTGCTCCCCCCGGCTGCCCGCAGCAGGCTGGCGAGGGCGGCCAGCGCGTCCCACCGGGGGCTCGAGGGCGGCCGGACGGGAGGATGCTGCAACAGAGGAGAGACGTTCACATCCCATGTCTCTCTCCAGAGGAACTTCCATCCATTAAAATGAGGTATTTCTGTTTGGAAACGCTGTCAGACAGCGCGCAAGGGCAGAAGCTACGAATTCCTGCTCCCTGCGCACGCCAGAAAACCTTCTCCCCCCAAAAAGCTGTTAAAAAGAAACACAGCAGTGACTGCAACGTAACATACAACCCAAAAATCCCCCGAGCGGGCTCCGTCTGATTTTCGGAAGCTGCCTCAGTTTCAGCCCTACGTGCCGGTCACCCAGGACAACTCCTGACAGCTTGCGGGAAGCCTCGGAGCCACCCTCTGCCCCCCACAGGACGGGGCTCCGATTGTTTAGATTCCAGGGATTTTTTGGCCGGACAGTTTGACCCTTGGGAAAAAAGCAGCTTTCCTCTTTCTTGGGACAGTTCCCAAGTCCCCTGCAGACAACCAGGAAACACTAACCAGAAAAATAATATATACTTTTGCCTCAGACAAAATAGCACGTAAAAGTCCGAAATTGCGCTGGAGTTACGGTGAGCACGCGATAGGAAGGGGAGACGGCCACGGCCGCTGATCCCGGCGACCGGCCACGCGGCACGATTCGGCGGCTGCAGCGGTCACTGCCGAAGCCAAGTGCCCAGGACAGGGCAGAGGGACGAGGACGGGGATCAGAGATGCGTCCAGCTCCGACGCCCTCTGCCCCACAAGCCGGTTGCTCCCGACCGGGAGAGGGGAGCACGGCGGCAGCTCTCCTCTGCAAGCGCCAGCAGAGCCCCACGGTTTTTGGTTAAGTGTGACACGAGAGCTTTGGAGGGCACACGACACGGGGTGTCCTGCTCAGCCCCCAACAGCTCATGTGGAAGTTCTCCGGCACCAGCACACGCAAAGGTGGAGACGACCGCTGGTCCAGACGAGGCCACAAAACGTGGGAGGGCAGCCGAGGGCAGAACGGAGTCCAGCGGGCGAAGAGGGGTGGTCACAGATCCACTGCTCCGAAAATGAGCATTAAATAGTGCAGGGAACTTGCCCAGGCCATGGACCGAGACACCGGCTGGGCCACCACCCATCTCAGCTACCCAGAGCCTGCACGTGGACGGGTTCCCAACCCGTGGAACCCCGAGTACCCGTGACACTGCTGCTCTAAGGAAACGAGCTCCCAAGGCCACGGCCTCAGCAAAGCCGGCCCCGCAGGCGCCGACACCTCCCAGCACAGGGAAGGTACTTGTGATGCCTGAGGGAGGGGGGTGAGGACAGTGCCAGCACCACGAGTCTTGGAATGGCAGTGAAGGAACCTCTAACGCCTCATCTCTCTCCGGGTTTTGCACTCAGAATCTTCAGAGCTGGAAGGGCCCTCTAGAGCTCACCCACCCCACTCCCCTGCTAAAGCAGGACTGCCCAGAGCACATCGCTCAGGACCGCATCCAGGCGGGTCTTGACAATCTCCAGAGAAGGGACTCCCCCACCCCCTGGGCAGCCTCTGCCACTGCTCTGTCACCCCAACCCTAAAGAAGTTCTTCCCTCTGTTGGAAGGGAACTTCCTCTGTCCCAACTTGTGCCCACTGCCCCTCGTCCTGTCACTGGGAACCACCGAGAAGAGTTTGGCTCCATCCTCCTCCAACCCACCCCTTAGATATTTGTCAGCAATAATCAGGTCTCCCCTCAGCCTTCTCCTCTCCAGGCTAAAGAGTCCCAGCGCTCTCAGCCTTTCCTCGTACGGGAGATGCTCCAATCCCTCCATCATCTTGGTTGCCCTTCGCTGGACTCTCTCCAGCAGTTCCCTGTCCCTCTTGAACTCCACTGTACTTTAACTGGAAACGGAGGAGAACTGCAGGGAGGAGGAGGAGGAGGACAGCGGTTTAGAAGGGGGCTCAGTTTCGGGGTGAAAAGGGGTCTGGACAACCGCAGCCCAACCCGCTCGCTTTGGCTGCCAGCGGAGCACCAGCTCCTCTCCTTCTGAGCTCCTCAGCAGCACCAACGCAGCTGGGAAGGGTCTGAGAAGAACTTCCAGTCGAATTTAGCAACCGAGGAGAACAATGCTGTTATCCTTGATTAGTTAAACGCCGGTTTGTGAAGAACCCACGCGGTGCCAAATTCGACTGAGTGTGTCAGTGTGTACGGGTACGACCCAGCAGCGATGGCCACCTCAAAGGACAGGCGAATGCGTCCGGAGGCTGGGGGAGGGATGCAGGGCCAGCAGCCCTCCTCGCTGGGCGCGTGCGCACGGAGCACACCCAGACCTGCCGCAGGGAGAGCAGACCCCGCCAGCCCCAGGAGGAGAGCCGTTTGCTCGGCCGAGCGTTTGGGAGAGGCCCGGCAGTGGCAGAGCCCCACCGGTTGTGACGGGGCTATTTATACTGACGCCGCATCCGCGCGGCTCCTCCAGGAAGCGTTCCAGCATCCCCAGCAGCTGATCCCAGAGCAGGAGGGGGAGCAAAGCGGCCAGGAGAGGAGTCGGCCTCAGGCAGGGCACGCAGCAGGGAACGGCTCTGCCATGGCCCAGCTGGGAGGCAGAACGATGGACCCCGCGGTTTTCCGGAGCTGGAGCTGTGTTGGGGGGCAGGGGGGAACCCCTCTCTCGTGGGCTCCCCCGGTCAGACCCCGCAGCGCCCAGTTGAGACGCTGCACGCGATGCCACGGTGTCACTGTCCCGCACGCCGGTCACGCTTCCCCGGGGTCCCCATCCCGAGGGACGGCACACTCACCAGCTCGATGCCTTGGGGAAAGGGGTTGTCCTCCCAGTCCTTCTCCGGGAAACGCTGGAGTATCTGTCCCTGTCCATCCCCACTCCCTGCGGAGACAAGAGGGGGATTAGAGGGCCGGCAGCAGGTACCCACCCGGCGCTTCAGCCTCCGGTAACGCCCGGCTGGGAGCAGCAGCGGGATGCTCCGGCACTGCGTCAGCCGGACACGGGCGGCACAGAGGAGACCCCGGCCCCTTCCACAAACACAGCCGTAGGGCAGCACCGCCCCTCCCGCAGGGAAAAGCAGCGATTTTAAGAGAGGCCTGAGCAAACAGCTGACAAACTCGTTATCTAAAGGTGCGTAAAAGGCAAAGCAGAAGTGCGGCGGATCTCTGGTCAAGTTTAAGTTTCCTTCCTTGTGTCGCTAACACAAGATCATACACGCAGATTTTGAACCGTAAGTCACTGCTCTTTATCTACAACCTGGCACTTGACATTTTCCTCGAACAATGGCATCATTCTGCTCCGTTTTACTTTCGGGTTCCCCTGGAGCCGCTGTTTCCCCGTGGCTTTACGGCACCCGGAGGCTGCCCCGCTGCTGGGGGGAGTGCTCCCACCCACGCCTGCCCACCCACCCACACCACCCCAAATTAAAAAAAACCTGCTCTTCCCCCACACCGTGCCCTGATCTAGCTGGCCAGGCGAGCACAGAAACCGGCACGCCGGGGAGCGGCCAGCTCGGCTGGTGGCAGCCGGCTTTCGGGACAGCCTGAAGCGACGGCTAAGCCGCTGCTGAAACCCGGGCAGCTCCTGCCGCGTTCGCGGAGCCAGCACGGCTGGGGAAGCGCTTCCACGCTGGCCACGTCCTTTCAGCCACCAAGCTGCTCAGGATAAAAGCCCGCTCCGGTGGATCAAGCTGGAATCTGGGAATCGGAAATCCTGAGAAGGATTTTGCTCCGACCACGGGGGAGGCGCAGCCCCGACGGCGGGCAGGCCCTGTGCAGCCGGACCACCTCAGTCCCTCGCAGACCTGCGTCGTCCCGGGGGACGCCCGCCTCTCTCGTCCCTCACAGTAACGCCTGCTGCCTTTGGGAGCACGAGCGCCGCCGGCCTCCCTCCGGCACAGCCAGATTTCGGCGCTGGGACCGCCGACGGGGCCAGGTACCAGGAGGAGCCTCACCAGAAGACGTGCACCACCGAAGGACTATTTTCAGCACCCAACCCTGTTTTCACCGCTCCACTTACCACCAGCCAGCCGCAGCCGAATTTAGCAGAAGGTGGCATCAGAAAAGATGCCATTTATAGTCTGAGGACCAAAATGGAAAGGTCAGTGCCAAGCTGTGAAGAAAACAGCGTCGAGCGTCAGGTTAACCAAATCTCCCCCCCGCGCTCAGACACCACGTCCCCCCGGCCAGGTCCCACGCGCCGCTGCCAGCATCGGTGGCTGCAAGGCGCTCAGGCCAAACGCGTCGAGTAAGACTTGCCGCCCCCGAGCGCAAATGACCCGGCTCAAGCTTCACAGACAGGAAAAACCCTTTTAGACACAGAGGCCAGAATTACAGCCCTCCGACGGCCCGTCCCCAGCGAGCGCTCTCGGTCCCGCGCCCCCCACGACGGCTCGCTCCAGCAGCCTTGCCGCGAGCGCACGTGTCTTCGCCCACACTCCTCTGGTCGCGAGGGAAGGAGGTACAACATCATCCTCAACACAAACGTAAAAACCACTCCAGGAGTTGTTCAGAGCAGGGGGAGACTTGACCCCCTGGGTTTTCTCAGAGCTACAGTGTTATTTAGCAGCCTGTGGGCTGGGTACGTCCTGATTTTCGCGACTGGCATTAACCAGCAGCCCCATTTACAGATCCTGGCCGGCCAGGCGCTCTGCTCAGCTACTCCTTAGGCGGCCTCATCCTCGCCTCCCTACTCCCCATCATCGAACACAGGCAGCGTCCACGCCGCTCGCCGGCCGTATCAGGCTGTCCGATCAGCACGGCCCTTCCTGCGGAGGGGAGCGGGACCAGCCCCGACGATTCTTCTGCCGTCCCCAGCCGAGATGCCTGGGAAAGCACGTGTGCCTGCGGACGTCGGCATTAACGCAGCTGCTTCGCTTCGCGTCTTCCTTCCTGCCTCCTCCTGCCGCTGCGCTGCAAAAAGGCCGGCACGACTTAAGGTGACACCTGGTCCCTGTTCCCGGGGCAGCCTGTTACGGTCTAAATTAGCGTTAAGCTATATTTGGAAGTTTATGAGATGTTATCATAATACAGGAAATTCTAAATAAACAAAAAGTTAAACACTCAGCTGACACAACACAACCAGATGACCTTAACTCTCGGGCAGGCCAGCGGCGGTGAGGGCTGGCCCGCCGGCGACGCTCTCCGGGAACAGCCGGTTCTCGGTCCGGCAGGGTCATGGCCAAGCGAGAGGCTCCTCTCCGCTTCCCTCGCTCTCGGTATCTCTTAGGTGACAAGAGGAGCTTGGGGGGAACGTCCTGGAGAAAGGCTAAGCCAGGACCCATCTCCCGGGACCCCGTGCCACGTTTCCAGAGCGTCTCCAGTCCCCCGCAGAGAGGTGTCCACCTCCCCTGGCCAACTCACCCAGCCGACCAACGAGGAACCCAAGCGTGCAGCAGCGTCTCCAGCCGCTGCGGGAGACAGGCCTTCCCTGCGGAGCCTGCCGCGATGGCGGAGTCGCAGGAGAAGTGAATTTTCACGTGTTGTTTAGGCAAAAGGACCTTGTTTGGAACACAGCCTTTTCCCACGCTCACACCTGAAGCCCTCTGCTCCCAGGTTGCTGACAGCACGGGAGGGTGTTTCACCGAGCAGCGCGGTACAACCAGTACAGTCAGTCTCAAGAAACCAGCTCTCCTGCAGGTTCAGACATGCCTCCCACACCCCCGAACCTCGAAAATTCGCTATGATACACGGGGAACACAAAGCTCGCGAGTCCTCAGCTCAGGAGCAAGAGGTGGTTCAGCCTTCCTCCCCCCCGCTGCCCGCACGGAGGCTGAGGGGTGTCCCGCTCTGCCGGGAGAGAGCAGGGAACGTTCCAAACACAGGATCTTTCGGCAGCTCACCCCAGGCACAGGGAGACGGACCTCAGCTTCAAGAGGAAACGGCTTCACGTTGCACCAGGGGAAGTTTAGATTGGATATTTGGAAGAATTCCTTTACTGAAAGGGTCATCAGGCGTTGGGACGCGTTACCCAGGGCAGTGGTGGAGTCCCCGTCCCTGGAGGGACTGTGCTCAGCGACACGGTTTAGTGGTGGGTTGTCAGTCTCAGGTTAAGGATTGGACTCGATGATCTTACAGGTCTTTCCCAATCTAGGAGATTCTGCCATTCTGTGATTCAGCATTGCTTTGAAGCGTCCTTAGCAGAGGCGTCCAAGAGCTGCTCGGTATCCTCAAAGCAGAAATTATTTTTAAAGTTTAGCTGTTCTAAAGCATGACAAAATACTTCATGCTACAAAGCACTCACCATAGTCACGGAGGCGGCTTCCTGCAAAACAGTATTAACCCACAAGGCCCAAAGCCATGAAACTCAACCTGCAAGGGGACCTGAGGCTTCCGACTGCGGTGAGCGACGCAACACACCCAAACCATGCCTGCAAGCCTGCTCCGTCAGATGCCAATCAGGCACCAGCCCTGCAGGAGGGAGCAGGTCGCCCATGGTGCTCTTGGGGCGAGCAGCCATCCACGTAACCCTGGCAGGGCCGCGAGCGGTCTCAAACGGTGGTTGGGCAACCACCCCGCAAGAAGCGGGAGCTATTGCATCAACCGGCGTTACGGTCTGACTAAGCTGCCAACACATCCCTCCGCAACGCTCCGTCCTGCCTGCGGAGCCAGGTGGTGGCCGCGGGCAGGAGGACACGGGAACAGGGCTGCCAAGCGCCGCCCAGCGAGAAACGGGGCATTGCACGGCGTCGGGGGGAGAACAAGGACGCTCTCTAGAGAAGCCCCGTGCGAGAGATTCTCACGCTAAACACGCAGGCTGTACTTAATCCAAACCAGCACCTGACTACGCAGGACGGCCGGGATTAAAAAACAACCCCACCACATCGAGCTGCTGTGACAAAGGGCTGAGACGGCGTCGGGAAGGGAGGGATGCGCGGAGCGAGGTGCGGGAGGCTGTGGGGGGCTCC